AACCTGGTAGAAGTTCCTTCAAAATTTAAAGGAACAAGATATTAAAGGTATATATATATAATCTCACCAAAAATAACCTCCACGGATATTCAGTAGGGGAGGTTCACAGCACTTACCTTCTCTACACTAAAATCAAGTGTAAATGATTTGCTAACTTTTAAAGAAGTTTACTGGGAGCAACCGCACAATCACCCCATGATGTGAGCAGGACAGGTATTATAGTGTCCCTATTATGAAAGAACAAAACTGAAGCTCGGAGAGGGTAAGTGACTTCTCTAGATCACTCAGTTGTAAGTAGCAGAGCACTGACAATGAAATCCCCAATGTTCTCAACACCTCTATTTTAAACAATAAGTGATTTCTTAAAAAGTCACCCTACTCCTAAAATTAAAGCAGCTGTGTGGCTAAAAATATCCACTTTGTCCATTAACTGCTGGCAAGTTTGTGAAGAAAAGTTAAGTTCTTTTTGTTATTCTGTCACCCCTTTAGGTACCTTTTCCTTTTCATGCTTGGCACCAATGTCTTTACAGGTTTTCTCTACTGCCCTCTGAAAACCTGCTTTCAAGAGCCATATTACGAATGACTCTCAGTAAGGTGTAAGTGAATAACGATAGTTTAAAATGCCATCCTTCTCAGGAATACATCTCACACAATCTACATACATCTAACCCCTAAGCCTTATAATAAAGCTTTCACATGAGCAACTCAGGCAGCCATCCGGAGGGGGCAGAGATGGCTTTTGGTGGAGTGAGATCTTTTCACAGCCCCAGCTGACCTGTGTCACCACCTAAGTCTGGTCCTGGATTTTATACTGCACTTGGTCGTACTGTCTCCAAGGAGGAGTATTTTCCAAAAGCTCTAGTAGAATAATACTCTTCTATTTGAAGAGACTCCATATAGGTAAGTCTAGATACGCCATTGGTTCAAGATTCTCATATGTCCTCCATTTTCTAGGGACAGTCCTCAATGCTCTCTCATTCCCATCCTCATCACTGTCCCTGGGATAAGCCACATGGGGACAGCTATTTTCAGGATAACAAAAGACCTGAAGAACGGATTCTGGGGCAAAAATCCTTTTTAAACTATACTGAAAACAGTAGCGAGCTGTGAGATGTCTCTCATTCATTCACACACCGAACTTACTGAACTCTACTATGTAGTATTTCTAGTAGAAATAACAAAACAAGGTATTGCCTCAGCCCCTGAGCAGGTCATAGTTTAGTGAGACCTGCAAACAACTACAATAAAGTGATATGAACTGTAAAGGAAGTAGGAACAAGAACACAATGAAAACACAGATTAAGGAGTAATTAATTCTTCTGCCAGGAAGGAGAAGAGAGAAGGGTCAGGGAAAAATTTATAGCTGGTGCCAACTGAGATGAGCTTTGTGAGGTATTCAGGACTCCTTCCTCTTCCTCTCCCTCTTCTCCTTCCTTCTCCTCCTCCTCTTCTTCTTTCTGTAGACTTTATTTTTTAGAGTAGTTTTAGATTCACAGCAAAACTCGGCAGAAAGTACAGAGTTCCCATATGTCCCTCTGCCTCCCTACCACACACACAACCTCTCCCACTCTCAATGTCCAGAACCAGCATGGGGCATTTATTACAGTCTGTGGACCTACAATGACACACATCATTCTCACTCAAAGTCATAGTTTACATTAGAGTTCACTCTTGGCGTTTTACATTCTATGGGTTTGAACAAACATATAATGACATGGATCCTCCATTATAGTATCATACAGTGTAGTTTCACTACCCTGAAAATCCTCCATGCTCTGCCTGTTTATCCCATCCTGCCCCATCATCCCTGGCAACCACTGATCTTTTTCCTGTCTTCAGAGTTTTTTTCCAGAATGTCATCTAGTTGGAATCCTACGGTGTGTAGCCTTTTTCAGATTTGCTTCTTTCACTTCATGATATGCATTTAAGGCTCCTCCATGTCTTCTCATGACTTAATGGCTCATTCCTTTTTAGCACTGGATAATATCCATTGTCTGGATGTACCACAGTTGATTTATCCATTCACCTATTGAAGGACATCTTGGCTGCTTCCCAGTTTTGGCAACTATGAATAACGCTCCTATACGTTTTCTTTTTTTTAGACCACTTTATTGAGACTTAATTCGCATACCATATAATTCATCCATTAAAAGTGTGCAATTCAGTGGCTTTTAGTGTATTCACAGTGTGGTGCATTCATCACCACAATCAACTTTAGGACATTTTGATTATTCTAAAAAGAAACTCTTCCCCATAGACTTCATTCACCCTTCAGTCTTCTCATTCCTCCTGCCCCCACCCTAGGTTACCACTAATCTACTTTGTCTACTGACTTGTCGATTCTGGATATTTCATATGAGTGGAATCATACAATATATGGCCTTTTGTATCTGCCTTCTTTCACTTAGCATACTGTCTCAGGGTTCGTCCATGTTGTAACATGTATCGATACTTCCTTCTTTTTATGGCAACTCATATTCCCTTATATAGATACACCATGTTGTATTTATACATTGATCAGTTGAATATTTGGGTTGTTTCTACTCTTTGGCTTTTATGAATAAGTCTGCTATTTCTGTACATGCTTTGGTGTGGATGTATGTTTTCATCTCTTGCTTATTCATTTTTATAGTAACTAAAGTCATACTTTGTCTAAGCATGTTGCTTTCTGAGATTTGCTTAGTAAAACCGTATTAGATTCCCTACGAAATGAGATCTCTGGGGTCTCAGTGCAACTCTTATCAAATGTCTGGGTGCATCAATTTGCCCTCCTGCCAACGCTTGCAAAATTAGCCCTTGAATCAGCAGGAATGATGGTGATGCGTAATGTTTCAGAATAATGAACACCTTATGTTCTCAAGGTTCTATTCTTAGAAAGTCAGAAAAGGGTGTGGGAAGAGTAAGTGCGATCCAGCCAGAGGGAACATGAGCGAACCTAGAACATATATAAAAATACATGTCTGGTCACGCTAAAGCACGGTAGGTGCCTGAGGATGAGAGTAGCAAAAAATTGTGCTGAAAAAGTAGAAGGGGAATCAACGGTGGAAGCCTTTGAGTGACAGTTTAAGGAAACTTGAACTTTGTACTGAGGGCAGTGGGAAGCTTCATAACCAGAAGAACGGCATACTCTGTTTCAGAAAGATGACTGGCAAAAGAGAAACTAGTTGAGAGTTCATGAAGAAATATGCCAGTTAATCACTGTATCACATAAGACCCCCCCCCCCCTGCAGATGAGAGCAAACCAGATGAATTCTGGCTTGCTTAATTTTAATTTATTGGCTTATATTTCTCTGCAATATAGGAGTAGATCCGGGTTCTGACTCACTATCCCTTGGTTCTGCTTTCTCAGTGTTGACACATTCCCAAGCCGCTTCTCTTGTGGTCCCATGATGGCATCCAGCCAGGAAAAAATAGAGAATTGTTGCCCCAGTGTTCTCAACTAAAGTCCCAATATTCAGGTGAATGGCACCAGCTCAGGTCATAAGAACACTCCTGAGATAACTACCGGGAACTGGAGAATACTACTGGCCTGGTCTTAGCCAGTGCTACTCAAAGTGTGGTCCATGGACCAGCACTTGTTTCCACATGCTTGTTACCACCTGCAACAAGGGTAGACACTGAGGATGACAGACACTTCTATTACAATCTGCCAGAGTAATTGAGTCTAATAATTAAAACTGAGGCTTGTATTTTGTTTATCTTTGTTTTTTGTGTCATTTTTTTCAGTGATTCATTTGCACTGCGTTTTGTGCAAGTATCAGCCCACGGTGGATGGGGGAGTGGGAGAGGAAGCAAACTGGTCCTTCACCACAGAAAGTCTGAGAAACTAATGTACATGCTCCACTGTGGAGTCTGGGAGTGAGTCAGCATTCTGGAAGCACACTGGGAGACTTTGGGAAGATCTTTCCCTCATGCCATGAGAGGGGGCAAAGATAAATGTCCACTATAATCATGAGACTTAATTTGGAGAAGGAGAAGGAAGGATACTGCCAGACTTACTTCAGCTCTTTCATTTTCTCATGCTTTCTTCCACATTGACCTGCCCTTACTCAGAGTCCCTAGTAAGAATTTACTCTGCATAAGCTCTGGATATGGCCATTTTTATAGGCTAAACATTACATACACATTCACCTACCCTCCCCATTGGAACTTGGATGACTAGAATCAAAGCATCTGAATGGCTCTCCTAACCCATTAAGAGAAAAACAACTTTGAGCAAGACTAGCACAAGGTAATTACTAAGCTGAGCCGAATTCCTTTGCCATGCTCTCGGCACTGAGGTATGGAAACTCCAGAGCCCTAAGAGGTCTAAAGGAAAAAAAAAAATGTTCAAGACAAATTTCAGCGATCTCAGTTTCTCATTAAAAATACATTTTGGAAAACTCTTTTAGGTTAACTTGCTAGGGCAGTTGTATGGCAAGAAAAAGTGTGCAGCAATTTGGCAAATTGCAGCTTTCATCTCTCTTTTAAAATAAAATGGGGGCACCTGGGTGGCTCAGTCGGTTAAGCGGCTGCCTTCAGCTCAGGTCATGATCCCGGAGTCCCGGGATCGAGTCCTGCATCGGGCTCCCTGCTCTGTGGGGAGCCTGCTTCTTCCTCTGACCCTCCCCCCTCATGTACTCTCTCTCTCTCTCATTCTCGCTCTCTCAAATAAATAAATAAATCTTAAAAAATAAAATAAAATAAAATGGAAACAATAAAAGCACAATTAAAAATAAAATTAAATCGGAGGGGTAGACGAACCATGAGAGACGATGGACTCTGAAAAACAAACAGGGTTCTAGAGGGGAGGGGGGTGGGAGGATGGGTTAGCCTGGTGGTGGGTATTGAGGAGGGCACGTTCTGCATGGAGCACTGGGTGTTGTGCACAAACAATGAATCATGGAACACTTCATCTAAAACTAATGATGTAATGTATGGGGATTAACATAAGAATAAAATAAATAAATAAAAATAAAATAAAAAAAAACATAATCTGAAAGAGAATTTTGATTCTTTTTCTAATTAAAGCTCTGCAATTAAAGTTTTGCTGGAGAGCAACCCGTGTTCTTCATCTCCCTGTCCACAAAGGGCTAATACAGGTCCAGCATTTGAGATGTCTGCTACACTTAGAGCAGGAAATGGCTTTGGAGAACCTTCTAGTCTGGCTTTCTCATTTTACAAATTGGAAACTGAGGTCATGGCAGGTTTACTTCTTCTCTCCTTAGTCCTCTCTTTCATTCGTGTGTGTGCATGTGTGTATGTGAGTGTATGGATGTATGTGTATTTTCTCTCAGAAGGCTTGGAAACTTGGAGTCTGCACAGTTTTAACATAATTCAGACACTCAATATGGGACTTCTATCTTTCCAGGGTCCTAACTCACCTTCTAGTATGAAGGTGGGGGGTTCAGTAAGAACCAAATTTTATCCTGTGCTGCCTCAAAATGTGCAATTTTTGCCTAAGTGAACTTTACAAACATTAGGAAGTTTTTTGGTGAAAATCTAATGGAAATCTAGTGCATGCCTTCCTACCATCTGCAATAAAATAAACTGAATGTAATGTTCCTTCATGGCCCAAGCTTAGTCTAATAAAAAGTTGTGGTACTCCAGAGGAGCAGGTGTATTCCAGGATATAGACACAGAGGCACACTGGCCCCAGAAGCTACCATCATTAAAAAAAAAAAAAAAATCCATCACTTAGAATTTCGTGGATTACTTTTTTTTCATATAAACGTAGTGGTTGTTTATGAACTACATACACAGTGCAAAACCAACCTATGACAGAATGACCTTTAGCAGGGCACAGGACTACCCTTAAGGGTTAATGCAGTTTAGGTCAGACCTGGGGGGTGGGGGGTGAGGGAGGGAACCGTAAGGAGGAAATGGAACAGAACTCATGTCTGGCGGGTCCTTAATATGTGCCCCAAACTTTCACTCATTTCATTTCTTAACTATCCTGTGAGGGAAGAAATATTTTTCTCATTTTACAGATAACAGAACTGAGGCCCTGAAAGACTAAATAATTTGCCCCAGTCCACAGAGCAAAAAGCTAAAAAGTGAGGCTATGACCCAAGCTTGCTGTGGATCCAGACCTGAATCTTCCCTCCACACCATGCTGTCCGAGACAACAGAGTCCCTGGGCCTTGGTCCTTGATGCTTCTCCGTTATCATCCCAACGGTTATGTTCTGTGATAGAACAAACCAGCCTAAAACTTCCTGGCTTAAAACAATGGCCATTTTATTTGCTCACAATTCTGTAATCTGGGCTGGGCTCAGCCAGGTGACTCTTCTGTTGACCTTGCCACTCTATGGATTCATCCAGCTGTCGGTCAGCAGGGGCCTGGGCTTGGCTGGGCACCGAATAGCTGGGCTTTTCTCCCATGGCCTCTCCACAAAGTGCCAGCAGAGTAACAGAATCCTTATAAAGCAGATAGGGGTTCAGAGCCCAGAAGCAGAACTTCTTAAGTCTTCCCATATAGACACAAGAAGGCGTACAGCATCACTCCACCATTTCTAGTCAGTCAGAATGAGTCACGGGCCCTATTCCAGTTCAAAGAGCGAGGACTACACAAGGGCAAATACAGGGAGATGTGATCGCTGGGGGACAGCAGTGTAACGGGTCACCACCAACACTAAAGTTTCCTGTGTTTTCTGTTCCTTATACTTTTATGTCCAGTTTTTCTCTCTTCTCCTGTAAGTTTATCCACTTTTTCCTACCAGTTCTCGGTTTCCCTGCATTGTAACTGGCCTTCCTTAGTCCGCTGCAGAGGATTCCTTTCCTTCACATCTGGGAACTGACTGGTCACATCATGTCAACTCTGTTCTACAGGTCGTCCATCTTTGCAGCTCAGGTGTTGTATTGTCGGAGAGTCCTTTGCTTTTTGGTTGCTGTTTTGCTTTGCTTTTGCACCGGGCCCCAAAGCTGGAAGAATAGTTTAAAGGAAAAGAAGACATCCCTGAATCGAGAAGCAACTTAAGTGGATACACTCCAATGCTTTGCCCTTATAAATAAAATCTAGAACTCGTGACCTTTAGTTTTACCTGCAAGAAGGCAATATGTCCGGTTCAATGGGCAAGTCAACAAATCGATGTTTACCATGTTTTACATGCCTTAAATTTCAAATCTCAGCCATCATTCACCAGGGCAGAGAAAGAAGAGAGGGCTGCAGGAATCAGATAATTCCCAGCATTACAATTCTGGTTCCCAGCAGGTTGCTTCTTACCTATGGCTAAGATGAGATCAGATTACATTTCCATTGAATCATTCAACCTGTCTGATCACTGCTTTCTGCTGTCAGGAGAGATTCAAGAGTACCAAGAATTAACCAGAGCCAGGAGAACAGGCTGTTCAGATACTACCAGCATGAGAAGGGCAAAGGAAATGAGAAAAAGAAATTTTAAAACACCCCAGGTGAAGATCCTTGCAGAAGGGATCACGGGTTTCCATTTGAAGTCCTGGGGAATTAAAATGAAAGTTAAAAGTTGAAATGTGAATTACCCTTCAAGAGCTTCTAAATCCTTTCACTGACAATGTTTATCATCGTTTCTTTTATTCTGCTCCCTGAGGCCAGCCTTTGGATCCCTGATTGTTGGATTACACCTAGACCAGACATTTAGGTGCAAAAATGAAGGGAATTAAATTCAATTTGGCTATTTATACATCTAAATTGCTCAAGTTAAGGGGGCAATGGAGATAACATGTCTTCATTATTATTTTAGATTAATTCATTGACTCAAATCTGATCTGTGCTCTATAGTCACAAACATCAAAAGTTGATTGAAAATGTGCATAAAGTCATACAGAATGAATTATACATGAATTCATTATAACCCTCACAATGATTTACACAAAATCCAATTAACATTCTATGAAACTTCTGGAGAATCTGACTAGATTCTGATGTTCTCAGGAAGAAAAATAAGCTTATCACTGAAAGTCTTGAAGAAAGCATATGAGATGGGACTAGCCACACTACATATTTAGATATAAGGCCGTATCGTATCATTAAAGTAATTTACTACTGAAAGAAACAATGTATAGACACAGAACACAGACCAGAGTCAGTCCGGAAATTGATCTGGATCCATGTAAGAATTTGCTAGAAAATAAAAATGACATCACCAAAAAGGAACTTGTACAGGAGTAACTGAGTAGGAATTTAAGGAAAATAAAATTAGTCTAGATGCATCGCTCCTAGTGTACAACAAAATAAGCCCCAGATACACCAAAAAGTTAAATATTTAAAAATATCTTTTTCCAAATGCCCAAGCAAGGTGTTAGACCTGTGAATTTAAGACCCAGGATGAGGGGTGCCAGGGTGGCTCAGGTCACAATCCCGGGGTCATGAGCATCTTGCCTTCAGCTCAGGTCATGATCCCAGGGTCCTGGGATCGAGCCCCGCATCGGGCTCCCTGCTCAGTGGGGAGCCTGCTTCTCCCTCTCCCTCTGCTCTCTCTCTTTCAGAGGAATCAATCAATCAATCAATCAATCAATCAATATCTCAAACAAAACAAAACAAAAACCAAACCAGGATGACTTTCTAAGCTTAAAATCCTTTTAAGAAATCATAAAGCAGAAGACCCAACTACTAAGATTCATAAAATTTAAAACTTCTATTTGTTAGGGGGGGAGAAAAAGAACAAACAACTACTTTTTAAAAAGCACACTGGGAAGATTACATTCGGGAAATCTGGCAAAAAGTTAGCATCTTTAGAAAAGGCATGATTTTACTACTATAACAGGAGAGAACATTTTCATATTTATTATTTGTTGGTGAATATTTTCTGTCATGGCCTTTGTTCAAGGCAGCAGAATTAATCTCCTTAAAATGCCATTTCCTGGGGCGCCTGGGTGGCTCAGTCTGTTAAGCATCTGCCTTTGGCTCAGGTCATGGGATCCCAGGGTCCTGGGATCGAGTCCCGCATCGGGCTCCCTGCTCAGCGGGGAGCCTGCTTCTCCCTCTCCCTCTGCCGCTCCTCCTGCTTGTTCCCTCTCTCTCTCTCTCTGTCAAACAAATAAAATCTTTATTAAAAAAAAAACAAACATTTCCTTATGACATTTCCTTGTGACAAGAGTATAGCAATTCTGTCGCTTACCATTCTCTGACCTCAGCCATTTTAGTACATATATACTTGACATATCCCTATACCATCTGCACACAATATTTATTTAATAATTTTCTTTAAATCAACTCTGTTTCACTTAAATGAACTTTGTTCTAGCCAATAATTTCTGTGACATCATTGTTAGATGTTAAAATTTAAATCAGTAAACCTTGAGCAAAGCAAATGATCCGACCCTCCACAATGTGGGTGAGCCTCATCCAATCTGGTGAAGGACTTGAGAGAAAAGACTGAGGTCCTCCAAAGAAGGAATTCTGCCTCCGGACTGCCGTAGGATTCAAGATTGCAACATCAGCTCCTGCTACAATTTCCAGCCCGATCACCTGCCCCGCAAATTTTGAACTTGCCAACTTCCACACTCACAAGAGCCGACTCCTTAAAAAAATGCCCACCCTTACCCCTTTGTGTGTCTGTGTGTCTGTGTGTGTGTGTGTGTGTGTACATCTCCTATCCTATTGGTTCTGTTTCTCTGGAGAACCCTAATACCCTTACCAGCCTTCGGGAGCACTGACTTTCCAAATCGCATTCAAATGTCTTGGCCTAGATGCCCATGCTTACCTCAATCTAGCTCTTCCTTCTGATTCCATGTTCATTTCATGTGACTTCCCAGTGTGTACTCCGCGTTACTCCAGCTGGTCACCTCACATTGTTATCTGTGCTCCGCATTCTGCCGAGAATGCCTCGCTTTGCCTGCCAGCCCTTCCCTGTTCCTGCCTTTGGGGCCTGGATACATTTCCACATGAGGAGCTGAGGAAGAAATAAAAGGCGGAATGAGATCCTCGCACCTAGAAATATGCAAAACCAGCTTTGGCAAGGAAGGTTTCATCTCGTGTGCCAATTCTGACCAATTGGTGGCAGTTACTTGGAACGTTTTAGGAAGGATTCGGAGGCTGTGTCTGTCAGAAAGCATGCGGGGATCTATTAGTGATGTCTGACAGTAGAAGGGCCAGGGTGGTAATAAACTTCCTACATAACTGCCACTTCTGGCTTGGTTATTAAAGGAAACCGGCCAAGAGTATTTTCCTGGGCCCTTTCCAATTGCCTATACAAACAAGGTATTAGATCTATAAATTTTTTTTTACAAAAACTAATCTACATTTACATATGTAGAGAAAGTCAACAGGAGCATTGAAACAAAGGAAGGAGTACAGAGAACAGGCTACATTTGCCTCCCAAACATCTCCTTTTCCACAGAGTACCAAATGTTAAGACAGAATATGCCTGCTGGGGCGAGTGCTTTTGGGAAGACAAACAAGCCAAGATGTCAGTTTAGCAATTCCTTGACCATGCTGCCCAGCACCTGGACACTGGGACCTCCTCATAAATGCCTTTGCCCCAGTTCTCTTGCGGCAGCAAAAGTTGCACTGGTCCCTCCCCCACATCCCTGCCTTCCCACCCACCCCTGAATTGCTGAAATGAGAACAGGAGCAACCCTGTTCAGCACACCAAGATCAGAGTAATGGATACAGATCTTCCTGAAAGTCAAACCAAAACTGTCCTAGTAGAAAATCACGCTCCGCCTGGTTTTCAGTGGCTCTTTCCCATAGTCTTTAAGGTTGGGGTGGGCGGAGCATGATTATTTATGCAGCTGCATTAGGTTACTTTCATTCATTCTGGACTTGAGCACTTCTTTCCAACAGGACAGTGTGATAGGCACTAAAGATACAAAGAGAAATCGTATTTGGTCTCTGCTTTCAGGGAGCTCCTAGCATAAATGATAGTCAAAGAATATTCAGAAACATTATCTTAGACCAAGGTCAGCAAACTTTTTCTGTCAGATAATAAATGTTTTCAGCACTGCAGGTCATGTGTTCTCTGTTGCGACTGCTCAACTGTGCTCAGTTGTAATACAAAAACAGTCATAGACAGTACTTAAATAGATCGTCATGGCTATGTTCCAATAAAAATTTGTCTACAGAAAAAGGCTGCTGGCCAGATTTGGCCTTTAGTTTGCTAATCACTGCCTCAGACTTATTGGGCAAATTAGGACCTGAGATGAACATCTCTCAAAGCAAAAGGTAAAAAAAAAAAAAAAAAGTGGCTCCGCTTTTGGTTAGTGTGGTTGCTTGAGTAATCAGAACCTTATTCCTTGATGGTGATTTTTAAAAATTTATTAAAACTCCAAATAAGATCTATGGCATCTCCTGTGAATATGTGAGGAAATAAAGCAATTACGTTTAATAACAGAATGGCTTTATTCAGTTACAAATATTTTTAATTCAAGATTTGCCATAGTCGTAATTCATTTAATGAGGTACAATTGCCAAACATGAAAATGGTGTTGTAGAAATCCACAGGGCAGAGTGGAGAAAGCCTTTCTTCCTTCCATCTGTATTCCTCTTCTTCTTAATATGCCTTTTAATATATGCTCACATAACGGGATGCGAGATTAGACATTTCCTGATGTCTCACGGTTTTAGCTAAAGCTGCAAGGCTGTTGAAACAGATGACAGTGTCCTCCTAGGGAGGCACCAGACACATCCTCTCAGGAATTATTAAAAGGGGGCCACGCTCATCCATTGTTCACCTCCCCGGCAGCCTATGAAAGGGAAAACTAGAAATGCATTAGAAAGAAAGTTCCTTGATGTACTGTATGGTGACTAACAAAACATAATAAAATAAAAAAGAAAGAAAGAAAGTTCGTTCCTCAAAAGCAAATTTATATGCACAGGTGAGAGGGATGCCGATGCCCGTCTGGAGCCAACCGAGGAAGGCTTTTCCAGCGAATCACTGGGAAGGCCAGCGCTTGCCAGAGGGGAGGCTGGTATCTTACCCCCACCCTGGATGTTTACAAAAATCCACAGTTTGGGGACCTGAGGGGACAGGGGAAGAAAGGAGAGAGTGGAAGGACAGTATTGCCCGTCTTTGCCACCGTCAAACCCCAAGCTTCCAGTCAGAATTGAGCTGAGGAGAGGGTAGAGAGCTTGAGGGAAGCTTTTAAATTGCATACAGGATGGGAAGTCTGGAGTTGTGTTTGTGTGTTTCTTTTAGGGTGAACTAGGTTTCTAACACATATATATATATATATATATATATATATATATATATATATATATATAATGGCAGGGATATATATATATCTACCTCCAAAATATAACTCTTCACTAACAACCAAAATACAACTCTGCCTGAGGCGTTTTCAAGAGGTGAGGAAGAAAAAGCCCTAAAGAACACTGTTAGTTGTCGGTACATCTTTAAGATGTTTTACGTTACATTTCGATGTAAAGGAAAAAAAGCTGTTTCCTAATTGTACTCCACTGAATGCAATTTATTTAGTATACTTACGAAAGCATCATAGATGTATCTTCAATGTGCTTTCTGTGAACTTTATCTACATAATGCATCAGTCAGGTCCTGCAGGAAACTGGGAATGTTCAGAGAGCAACTGAGGAATTAACAAAGATGTAGATGGGGCTGAGGGACTGAAGATGGCAGACGGGAGCTTCCAACAAAAGGGAGCACCCTGAGGCCTGCGGGGAGAAAGGAGCGGGGGGTGATTGCCCGAGCCCTGAGAGGGATGGAGCGAGCTGCTGCCTTGGACATCAGCCGGCAAGGAAGCCCAGCCGGTGGTGGGCACAGAGCAGAATGGAGACAGGTGAAAAGCTCACTGGGATTGGCAAATGGCAAATACTCAACACAGGTAATATATTTCAATTGTGAAACTCTGGCAAACATGATTGTAACTGATGTATGGAATACTCAAATTACTTAAAACTGGTGATAAAGTAGAATTTTCCCATTGAGTCTCTTGGTAAAAAATGGAATTATATTCCTCAAGGAAAAAAAATTAACCTCAGGCCAATGAAATCAGCCTTAAGAGTACAGAAAATGTATTTAAACACAAATGTTACTCATCTAAAATAAATACAGATAATCATACGGTAAAAATTAATCACCAAAATAAATCTGGAAATAAAAATGCTGAAAATGAAAGCCAAAGAAGCAGTGACACTCTGTAGGATCACAAATGGCGGCCATAAGCCTCTGAGCCACTTCACCCACACTGACGTGTCTACACAGATCACTAAAGCACCTTCTCTGTTAACATCTTTGCTGAGTCAGGCCCTCAGTGGTACATTTTCTGACATCTGCTGTCTAAAATCATGATAATCATCTGTACTCCTAGGAAAACAGAAAGCTTTGTCCTTCTTGGCCTTTTCCCCCCGTTGCGTCCTTTTGCCATGACTCTCTGCCTTCTTATCTTGGTGAGCTAAACGTGGGCCAACTAAAGCTTCCACAGCTTTGTTCTTTCTCACCGATGAGCTAGGGAAGTGAGATGTGTTCAGCGAACTCTTTCCTGGGCCTAGCCCTCCCTCCAGCTGATTCCCACACTCCAACTGTGTAGAACTCTTTCTCTTTCTAAATACAAACACAAAGAGTTCTGGGTTCTTCCATTGCTCTGGAAAACTTTCTTCCCTGTCCCCACCACACAAACACATACACACCCTCCCACTCCCTTCCCATCCAAGGAAATTCTTCAAGGTCCAGTTTAAATGCCTTCTCTTTTCTCAACCCCCCCACTAATCTCACCCCATATCACACCCAAGCCCCCAGTCTGGCCAAAAGAATTCAACACCCTTTCTCCTCTGCTCCCCTGGTACTCTGTCCCCAGACCTTAGAATGGTCCTTATCACCCATGCTACAGGTAATAGCTCTTGTGGTGACCATCTTCCCATGACAATGTTATCTCTGTATCTCCAGTGGCAGAGGCAGAAGGTTCATAATTTAAGCTGAAATTTAAAAACTTCTAAATAACCCATGGATCAAAGAAGAAATCAAAAGGGAAATTAAAAATATTTTGAACAGAATGAAAACAATAGACAACATACTGAAATTTCCAACATGTAGTTAAAGCAGTGTTAAGAGAAAAATTCATAGCACTAGATGCCTACATTAGAAAAGTCTCACACCAATGACCTTCGTTTCTCCCTTAAGCAACTAAAAAAAAGAAGTGCAAATTAAACACAAAGTAAATAAAATAAATTAAACACAAAGTAAAATAATAATAATAAAAACCAGAGAAGAAATCAATGAAATAGAAAACACATACCAAAAAAAGTAGAGAAAAATCAATGAAACAAAAAACTAGTTCTCTGAAAAGATTAAAAAAAAAATTAATAAAACTCTAGCCAGACTTATCAGGTAAAATCTAAAGAAGTCACAAATTACCAATATCAAGAATGAGAAGGGGAACCTCACTGCAGATCCTAAACACATTTAAACAGTAATAAGGGAATGTTCTCAACAATTTTTTGCCAGTAAGTCTGAAAACTTGGGTGAAATAAAGTTCTTAAGAAACACAAACTACCACAGCCCACTAATATGAAACCGATAATTTGAATAGCTCTGCAACTGTAAAGGAATGAATTTTTAACTTAAAAACTCCCAAAAAGAAAATCTCCAGAGTCAGATGGCTGCACTGGAGAATTCAACCAAATGTTTAAAGAAGAATTAACACCAATTCTACAAAATGTCTTCCAAAAAATCTCTTCCAGAATATAGAGGAAGAGGGAACGCTTTCCAATTCATTTTATGAAGTATGACCCTGATACCAAAAATGATAGCTATACTATGTTCATAGGTTGGAAGATTCAACACACTAAAGATGTCAATTCTCTCCAAATTGACATACACATTTAACACAATTGCTATCAAAATCCCAGCAGACTTTTTGTAGACAAGATTCTCTATAGTTCATATGGGAAGACAAATGAACTGGAATAGCTAACACAATTTTGTAAAAGAAGAATAAATCAGGAAGAGTCAATCTTAGACATAGCTCATTTTAAGACTTAGCTTATTACAGCTACAATAAGCAAGGCCATGTGGGTAATTAACAGACAGATACATACACCTAGGAAACTGAATAGAGAATCCAGAAATAGAACCACACAAAAATGTTCAATGAACTTTTGACAAACTACAAAAGCAATTCAATGGAATAAAGCTAACTTTTCAATAAATACTGCTGGAGCAAGTGGACATCCACACACCAAAAAAAGGAACTTCGCCTAAGTCCCACACCTTATATACAAATTAACTCAAAATGGATCACAGACTTGACTATAAAACATAAAAGCATAAGACTTTCAGAAAAAAATCAGAGGAAGTCTTCAGGATTTAAATCTCAGCACAGAGTTCTTAAATGTGACACCAAAAAAATGACCCATAAAAGGAAAAGTTTATAAATTGATCTTCATCAAACTTTAAAACTATTGCTCTGCAAAAGGCTGTTAAGAGGATGAAAAGACAAGCTATAGA